GTCGCCCGTCGGGGGTGGCCGGGGGGCCGCCGCCCCGGCCGAGGGGGCCTCCGCCGCCGCGCTGCCGTTGTGCGCTTCGGCCTGCTCCATCGCCGCCAGTGCCCGACGCAGCCCGCACTTCCGACCCGGCAGAGGCGGCCTCGCAGCGCCCAGGGACACGTTCCCTTACCAGCCGGAAGTGCCCGCGGCGCATGCGCGCGCCCGCGCGGACACGCCCCCTGGAGACGGCGCCGGGGCCCGTTGCTACGCAGCCGCCGCGCCTCTCGGCCTAGCGCGGGACCGGGCCGCCCGCCCGCCGTGACGGGACCCCCGGCTGGGTCATCCGCCTGCGCCCAGGGGCTCGGCGGCGGAGGCCCAGCAGGTGAAGGGGTCTTTCCTCCCGCGGGCCCCCTCGCTCCCATCCCTGAGGGACGGTGCATTCCCATGTAATGATGGTGAGACACGGGTCAGAAGCCTGGCAACGGCTGCTGATGCTGCTACATTGCTGTTATTGCTATTATTGTTGTTGTTATTGCTGCCATTATTATATATTTATATTTCAAATTTGGTCACCTCCCATCTCTCTGGGAAGCGACTCTGGGCGGTTTACGGTAAAAACAAGAATAAATGTTAATTAAAATACAATAAAAGCCATATTCATACGTAAGTAATAATACTTTCCAAGGTGCTGCTGGTAGACAAGGAGGGAAAAAGGCAGAGACCGAAAAAGGAACCCACCTCGGACTTATTATTGCTGCTGTTATTATTGCATGTATAAACTGCCTGATTGCCAAATTCATTGGTTGTGGTTCTATCTTGGATTGCTTTTCTTCCTCACAAGCCATGATTCGAGTTTGAGCGGTTGTATACATTCTTTTGGTAGGTATGTATTTATTTAAATTGATATGCCCCCCCCCACTCTGAGGACTGTGGGCAGTTCACAGATAAAAACATGGAAAAAAAAGATACAACAATAAACAAAAATGAAAAAAAACCGATGGCAAACAGTCAGACAGGGACAAAAAACGAATCCACACAATCCGAAGGGGGCTTTGCTCCCTGTCACCAAATAATTGGGAATCAGGTGACATATACACTTAATAAATGATAATAAATAAGTAAATTTGACTGAAGGTGAAGTAGAAGTACTTTAACAACCTGTCAAATCCAAAGAAAAAGAAACCAAGGGTTGTGAGGAAACAACAGAACACTATGTCAGGAAAGCCCCCAAGGATTAAACCATGTCTGATGCAGGTTGGCAAGTGGCCCCCAGCCAGGACCTGCTGGAAAAACAGGGTTTTAGACTCGGGGTCTTTGCGGTGGGCAGAGTTGAGGGGATTCCCTAAGATGGGGGAGGCCAAGGAGAATGGGTGGCTTGAGGCCCCATAATGGCATCTGTTGTTGGTGGGACCTGGAGCATGCCACCCTGCCAGGGCTCAAAGGACAGGCAGGAACAATGGAAGGGAGGCAGCCCAGGCCTTGAACTGTGACAGGCTTGGCAGGGGACAGCCGGTGCCTTGAACTCCACCCGGAAGCCAGCTGGTAACCAGCCTTGTCTAGCAATGTGGGTTGCTCAGGAGGGGAAAGGGTGACTTTGGAAGGTGGTGGGCTCTCTTTGGTTACAGGGCTGTGTTTGTGTCTCTTCTTTTTGAGTTACACCCTTTTTTTCCTATTCTGATAAGTCTCAAGGCAGCTAACATAATGTAAGGGAATAGCGCCAGACCAGGAAAAGTTAAACACAGACATAAAATTGACATTAAAAGGTTGCTTGTTTAAGAATTACAGGCATTGTCATGGATTTTGGAGACGTGAGAAAATGGGGGCCGCATTTGATTCCTCAGGGAGGGCACTTCATAGATTAGGAGATGGATGTCTTCTTGTGTGACAGACGGGGCATCTTCGGAGGGCCTCCCCATGGAGCCTTGTAAAGGAGAGGGCTGCCTTTTTCGTGTCTGTAATTACATCAGGCATATATAGGATGGGCAACATCCAGCTCTCAGGTTATTGCTGAACTTAATCTCATGTGTGTGTGTGTTTAATATGACTGTTTGACATGTTTATTGTTTTATATTTTTTGCTGTATGATGCCCAGAGTCACTTCTTGTGAGATGGGTGGCCAGATAGATCGAATGAATGAACGAACGAATGAACTAAAATTTCCAATAGGGTTAGCTATGAGAAATTGGGAGCTGTAGCTCAGCAACATCTGGAAAGCCACAGGTTTCTCTACTCCAAGCCAAGTAGGTCCCATATTGACCAAGGATTAGAACAAAATGACCTGCAATATCCTTGCCAACTGTAAGTTTCCGTGCTCCTGTTGGTGGCCATTGCTCAGGATGACCATATGGAGCCTCCATATTTAAAGATCTCTGGATATCACTGCTATGGGAGCAAGAATGGAACAGGCTATTGCTTTTGTGCAGAGGGTTCCTGTGGGCTATAAGGAAACAGAATAAACCTTTGGTCTGATCTGGGCACTCAGATACCTATCAATTCAGGATGCTACCATATATAAAACAAAACAGTTGTATTGTATTGTATTGTATTGTATTGTACTGTATTGTATTGTATTTATTCATCAAATTTATATAGCCACCCATCTCATAACAAGTGACTCTGGGCGGCATACAACAAAGCTAAAAACAGGTAGTTAATAAATACTAAACAATCAATATTATAATAATTATTAAAAACTTTTTAAAAACTATTAAAAAAAAGAAGGAATATTAGGTGAAGAGATGTTAATAATAATGTAGCCACCTTAATAGTTCACCAGTCCCATGGGGTCCCCAGGCCTGATGGCACAACTAGGCTTTGAGGGACCTTTGGAAAGTCAAAAGAGATGAAGCCAACCTCACTTCAGGGGGAAGGATATTCCATAGAGTGGGCACCACAGGGGAAAA